GTATTTTTAATGCAATTCTAACCCAAGAAATACTTTTGGGGATAGGAGTCACAGTAATTTTACATGAATCATTTATTTCCCAATATCTTTTCATTTCTTATTTAATTTTGTTGTTTCTAAAATCTTTCCTTTTTTCCTTTCCTTATGTTTGTCTTCTAAATGTAAAATGACTAATGGTAAGGCTTCCACCTATTTCCTTTTTCTTTTCATCTTTACTGAGGTATAACTGACAAATAAAAATTGTATATACTTAAAGTATAATACTTTATTTCATCCTTAGTTTTACTGATATAATTGACATATAAATAACACTGTGTAAGTTTAAGGTGTACAACATATGATATATATGCATATATTATAGATTTCTATAATAAGCTTAGTTAACATCCATCACCTCACACAGTTACAAATTTTCTTTTTTCCATGTGGTGAGAACTTTTAAAATCTACTCTCTTAGCAACCAACTTGAAGTTTTGGTGTATGTTCCTGCTTCATCTCGTGAACCAGGCACTTGACGTTTGTTAGCTTACCTGTAAGATAAAATTTACCACCACTGATTTTCTGTTAAGTCCTATATTCCTACCTTTGTATCTAAACCATCTTGAAAGTACATATATTCATTTTACTAATATTTGCATCATTTTGCTAAACATGGTGCTATTTTGATAGCTCATCCTTTTCCCCTTCCTTTTTTGGGAGTCCTTTAAGATTTTCGTATGTGTTAGTCGCTCAGTCATGTCTGACTCTTTGCGACCCCAAGGACTGTAGCCTGCCAGGCTCCTCTGTCCATGTGATTTTCCAAGCAAGAATACTGGAGTAGGTTGCCATTTCCTTCTCCAGAGGATCTTTCCAACCCATGAATTGAACCTGGGTCTCCCACGTTGCAGGCAGACTCGTTACCATCTGAGTCACCAGGGAAGGTTTTCATATCTATATCTTAAAGGGAGGATTAACAATTGTTTTTAACTAGTCTGTTTTTTGGTGGTCTTTAGAGAATGTTCCATTTTCATAGTTGGTTTCCTATTGTATGACTTACTTGCTTTCAAAGAAACCTCTAGTGGGGATAAAAATGTTTTGACTGCAAGCTAGAAATTTTGGAGAAGATACAGGAAGGTTTCTATGAATTCATCTCTTCTGAATCCTTGGTTCAGAGGGATACACTCTTCAGTATGGAGTCAGCTGAGCTGATTGCTAAAGTCTGTCTGCTGTTTTTTTTTTTTTTTAGTAGTTGCCTTGGCAGGGTCCCTGCTTCTTAGCAGAAATCCTAGAGAAACTGCATTTGTCAGAGCCTTCTAAGTCCTCTAGCTAACTACCAACAAAGGTCTGTATAGTCAAGGCTATGGTTTTTCCAGTAGTCATGTATGGATGTGAGGGTTGGACTATAAAGAAAGCTGAGCACTGAAAAATTGAAGCTTTTGAACTGTGGTGTTGGAGAAGACTCTTGAGAGTCTGTTGGACTGCAGGGAGATCAAACCAGTCAATCCTAAAGGAAATCAACCCTGAGTATTCATTGGAAGAATTGATGCTGAAGCTGAAACTCCAGTACTTTGGCCACCTGATGCGAAGAACTGACTCATTTGAAAAGACCCTGATGCTGGGAAAGATTGAAGGCAGGAGGAGAAGGGGTTGACTGAGGATGAGATGATTGGATGACATCACCAACTCAATGGACATGAGTTTGAGCAAGCTCCCGGAGATGGTGAAGGACAGAGAAGCCTGGCGTGCTGCTGTTGGTGCAGTTGCAGAGAGTTGGACATGACTGAGCAACTGAAGAAAAAAAAACCACCAGTTGAATCCAGAGACATAGAAAAATGACATAAAGATCATGAAAACCTAAATATTTTAAACTATATTAAAAGCCTTCTGGTTACATTTTTTCCTGATTAGCATAATATATGCAAGAGATATCAGCCAAGATTCATAAAAATCTTTAAATGTGCATATTCCAGAGACATATATTTGTGTGTGTGCTAAGGTACATTATAAAAATTTCATGTTCAATATTTATTCTCCTCCTCTGCTCCATTTTTTTTTCCAGTGCAGTCTTGCTAATAAATCCATGTGGTTTATCAAAGGTCTTAAGGAGTTTTGAGACTCCTGAAATTAACTTAGGACTATACACCAGGTGCGGGGCTCTGAGCACATGGGAGGGGTCCACACAGTGGTCTAACTTGTGGAGCTTCTCCTGTCAGCTTGTAGTTGAATAGCATGAGCCATTTATGTAATGCTTTATACTTTGGGCAGGTACTAAAGTATGGTTTCTTTCTCTCTCTTTTTGGTCAAACCTCTTTAAAGAATCCTAGCATATTATTAGTTTGAAAAACTTCCCTGGAAGACATCCAGTTAGTCCAAAAGAATTTTGTACTTTGAAATATAAACTCATATTTGGAAGAAACCATAAAGATAATCTATTCCAACCACTTAGCTGATTCCTTAGAATCTCCTCTGCAGCATTCCCACTGATTGATCATGCACTCTTTTCTTCTTTTTTAAAAAAACTTATTTTTAATTGGAGGATAATTGTTTTACAATATTGTGTTGGCTTCTTCCATATGACAATGTGAATCAACCATAAGTATACATTAAACTCTTGCTCAGACTCTTTTAGGTATCCTGCTTTTCCTTATTGCTGACATAAAAATTTATTACTTTGAATCTTCCATTCATTGGTCTTATTTCCTTGAGGTTATACAAAATATTCTAATCCATGATGAACCTTCATATATTTGAAAATAATTGCCATTTTCTCCCTGTGTGTCCCTCTCCTACCACCTCAGGTGAGACTGTAGAACTTTCTGCTTACTTGAAATTATTTGAATTCCCTTATCATCATGGGCTTCCCAGGTGACACTAGTGGTAAAGAACCTGCCTGCCATCGCAGGAGATATAAAGAGATGCAGGTTTGATCCATGGGTCGGGAAGATTCCCCTGGAGGAGGACATGGCAACCCACTCCAGAATTCTTGCCTGGAGAATCCCATGGTCAGAGGAGGCTGGCAGGCTATAGTCCATAGGATCACAAAGAGTCAGACAGGACTGAAGTGACTTAGCACGCACATACACCATCATAGTCTTTCTCTTCTGAAGACACTCTACTTGATCCACACCCCATGACAGAACTGAGTGTAATATTCAGAATATGGGTTAACTAGCACAGAATAATAGCATGAAAATAAAGTTCCTAAAATCCCAATCAGACTAAAACTGACTTTATTATAAGGTATATCCTGTAGCTACTTAATTTGTCTCTGTATTCTGCCTACTTACATTCCTTCTCCTGGCTACCTCATTTTGTAAAGTGCTTTTTACAGGTTTAATCAGTCATCTTCAAAACAGCAACTTTAGTGGTCTATTTTTGTTCTTATTCTCCTTGGAGTTTCAGCTATCCTTTAATTATACTTTCTTTTTGAAATTCTCATCTTCCTTAATTATAATGTTCATTATATAGATCCTCTTTCTGTCTTCCCATACCTTAATTTTCTTCTTCAACATAGTACAAGTAACAAGGTTAGTTCTTAGAACTGTGCTTTTGCTAGCTCTGTACTTTCTCCTTTGGGAGGGTCATTTACTCTTAAGGCTTCAAATGTGACCTCTATTGGACTGGCTGCAGACCCCTCAAGTGACAAGTGTTATTGTTTGTCCTCTTAAACTCAATATATCTGTTATTCCCTTCCTGCTCTACAAATTAGCTCATTTGTTATTGTCTGCCACTGTGTTCCAGTAGTCATGGAGTCATCAATTATTTTGCTTTTCCTTACTCATATATAGTCAGTCTTTATGAAGTAGAGATTCTTTTTGAGAAAAGATGTCATATCTCTTCTATTTATTCTCTTATCACTTACTACTCCAAGTAACCCTTAACTAGTTTTACTACCTATGATGTTTCTCCTCTTCAGTCTATTTTGAGTATTGTTCTTTAAGTGAAACCTTATTTACTTCTGAACTACCATGGAAGATCTGGGTTCAATCCCTGGGTCAGGAAGATCCCCTGGAGAAGGGAATGGCAACCCACTCTAGTATTCTTGCCTGGAGAATCCCATGGACAGAAGAGCCTACAGTCTGGCCTACAGTTAGACACAACTGAGCGACTAACACTTTCTAACATGACTAACACTTTATTTGCTTTACTGTCCTTCTCAAACACTGAAGAAGGCTTCAGTTACCTAATGAATAAAATATAAATTCTGGGTTTATTTTTAAAATCCCTTCAGAATCTTCTAACCCTCCTTTTCAAGATTATACCACCAAATGCTTATGAGCCTATTGCAACAATAAAATTTGCTACTTCCCCTGGAATATAACATGGTAGTCTTTAATCCCTTTGGTTTTCTTCTACTTGTTCTACTTCACTCAGCATTTCATCTCTCTTTTTAGATACATCATATACTACTTCTTCCTTCCTCATGAGGGTATCCCCTTCATCTTCTCATTCAAAGAGGTTGCTAACTTGTATTATATTGTCCACATAAACTTCATTCTGATGCTTAGATTTTACTAAAAAAAACTGTCACATGTATACATACTATGTAATTGTATATGCTACAAGCTACTTGATTTATAGGGACTCTTGTTTTTCTATACACCTCTTATTGCTAGAACAGTGCCTTGCAAACAGATCCACCAGGGGGAATTACTGGTTGGTTGATTGATCAGGCTATCACAAAGATAAAATATTTTTCAAAGGAAATTTTAATTTTTAAAATAGAAATGTTTTATTTCAGAAAGTATCCAGTCTTTCTTGACTGAGTAAATCTAAGTATCAACTTATAACAGAGGTGGAAGCTGAGGTTTGTGACTGAAGAGATCTAAAACTTGAAACTTCCGAATAGCAGAAACTCTGCAGATGTATAGTTTAAAGGCAATCTACTATGATACAGATAAGTTAATGGCTAGTATATAACTTGTATTTGGAGGACAGAAGTCATAATAATCAGTTGTCTTATGGGCCTTTTATTTGCCACTGCTCTTCCCTTTTGTTGTACTTTACAAGCAAAGGAAGCTTTACTTGGTTTTGCGCCTTTGTGAAGTTTCCACTTTTTTATCCTTGATTGTCAAGTTATTCTTTCCTTGAACTTTGTCCTTTTCTCCATGACCATTCTTGTTTTTGGCACCATTTTCTTCTTTATCTTTCCCTATATCTCTCTTTTCATTGTCCTGCTTTTCTTTGTCTTCTGAACTCTCCTTCTCTTGGGCCGTTTGTCCATTTGATATTCTGGTCTCAGTCTTCTTTACTTGGGACCCCTGTCCTATTGGTATTCTAGTTTCACTCTTCTTTACTTGGGACCTCTGTCCTATTGGTATTCTAGTTTCACTCTTCTTTACTTGGGACCCCTGTCCTATTGGTATTCTAGTTTCACTCTTCTTTACTTGGGACCCCTGTCCTTTTAGTATTCTGGTCTCTCTCTTCTTTACTTGGGACCCCTGCCCTATTGGTATTCTGGTCTCACTCTTCTTCACTTTGGGCCCCTGTCCTTTTGGTGTTTTGGCTTCACTTTCCTCTGTTTGGGCGTCCTGTCCTTGTGGTATTTCAGCTTTACTTTTCTCTACTTGGACTTCCTGTCCTTTTGGTATTTTGGCTTCACTTTTCTCTGCTTGGGCTTCCTGTCCTTGTGGAACTTTGGCCTCAGTCTTTTCCACTTGGACATCCTGTCTTTTTGGTATCTTGGCTTCACTTTTCTCTATTTGGGCATCCTTTCCTTGTGATATTTCAGCTTTACTTTCCTCTACTTGGGCTTCCTGTCCTTGTGGTACTTTGGCCTCACTCTTTTCTACTTGGGCGTCCTGTCCTTTTGGTATTTTGGCTTCACTTTTCTCTGCTTGGGTGTCCTGTCCTTGTGGTATTTCAACTTTACGTTCCTCTACTTGGGCTTCCTGTCCTTGTGGTACTTTGGCCTCACTCTTTTCTACTGGGGCATCCTGTCCTTGTGGTATTTCGGCTTCACTTTTCTTTATTTGGGCTTCCTGTCCTTTTGGTATTTTGACTTCACTTTTCTCTGCTTGGGCGTCCTGTCCTTGTGTTGTTTCGGCCTCATTCTTCTCTGCTTTGGCTTCCTGTCCTTGCAGTATTTCAGCCTCACTCTTCTCTACCTGGGCTGCTGCTTCTCTTGGCATTTTCAAGTCTCTCACTTTTTCTTGGAATTCTTGTCTTTTCCTTATCTCAGCATTACTGTCCTTTTCCTTGACCCCCATTTCTATCTTACCTTTCTGCAACTCAACATCTTGGGAACTGCTTGATTCTTTTTTGTGCTCTGCTATTACAACTTCATCAGAATCTGTAAACGAGATTTTCTTCTGTAGTTCTTCCTTCTTTTTTTCTTGGCTACTCTGAAACTTTGTAGTGCTTCCACTTTTTAGAATCTGGGCTTTGGAATCTGATTTTTTAATAAGTTCTCCATCCATGTAACCTGGAAATATAACTGAGCACACAACAAAAGTGCATGATTCAGATATCAAGTATTTTTGTTTTATTCCTACATAAAACTGACAAGTGGAGATAACTTGTGGAGATAACTTGAGATTTTCCTCAAAATATAAAATGGTGGAACTCTACATATGAAATTATATAAATATTGATAACTTTCCAGACTTCTTTCAATAAATCAAAAAATTAATGAAAGAAAAGGTAAAATGTTATCAAAATGAACTGGCATTTGTTCAGTATATTGTGTCTAATAATATTTGATAGCTAATGGAGGATATATTCCAAAAAGAAATAGAATTCAATTTTAGAAAAATTGTAGAAAGCAATGATTGTTTCTTAAAATAGAAAGAATAAATGCAAAATATGCTTTCCCTATTGAATGAAAGCATATCTCATTAATATGCAAAAGTAATGCTAGTGCTAGCTGATAATTATTGAGTGCTTACCATATACCAGGCAGTAATGTTCTGAGCACTTTGTATATATTAACTCATTTAATCCTCACAAAAACCATATAGGGTAGATACTATTACTATTCCTATTTTACAGATTAATAAACTAAGGTACAGAAAGTTTAAATGGGTGTGAATATGGTCATGAAGTTAGTAGGTGGTGGAGCTGGGATTTGAACCTGAGTAGTCAGACTTCAAAGGTCAGGTTTAGCCAATACCCTAGACATCTGCTAATGCACTATGCAAAAATTTCAAGTCCCTTTTTTCATGTATAGGTAAATCAACTCTGCTGTGTCTCAATTTCTGTGTGTTCTATAAACTTGAATTTGTTAGTTTTGCCTTTTTTTCTTTTTGATGATTTGATTCCCTGGATTAAGAAAAAACAGTGTCTGTAGTACCAAGGAAAATTGTGTGGGTTCTTGCCATGAAGCAGAGGCATACCTTGCTTTGAACAAATTCAATATTTAATATTTAATGGCATAGTCAAGGCTATAGTTTTTCCTGTGGTCATGTATGGATGTGAGAGTTGGACTATAAAGAAAGCTGAGTGCTGAAGAATTGATGCTTTTGAACTGTGGTATTGGAGAAGACTCTTGAGGGTCCCCTGGACTGCAAGGAGATCCAACCAGTCCATTCTAAGGGAGATCAGTCCTGGCTGTTCAGTGGAAGGACTGATGTTTAAGCTGAACCTCCAGTACTTTGGCCACCTGATGCGAAGAGCTGACTCATTTGAAAAGACCCTGATGCTGGGAAAGATTGAGGGCAGGAGGAGAAGGGGACAACAGAGGATGAGATGGTTGGATGGCATCACCGACTCGATGGACATGGGTTTGGGTGGAGTCTAGGAGTTGGTGATGGACAGGGAGGCCTGGCGTGCTGTGGTTCATGGGGTTGCAAAGAGTCGGACACGACTGAGTGACTGAACTGAACTGAACTCAATGACATAGAAAGAATACTGAATTTAAGACTTAAATCAAAAACATCCCTGTTAGCTGGGTTTATTTGGGTAAATCAGTTAATCCCCAAAGACTTACTTTATTCACATTTAGTCTTTTATACCCACTTTGTTCAGCTGTTTAAGGATTCTAGACAGTGTTTATGGAGCATGGCCTTTAGAGACAGACTGGTTTAAATCTGACTCCATACTTGACTAGCTGGGTGATCTTGGGGAAACTTCACTTTCTAATCTGTAAAATGAGAACAGGTACTTCACAGAAGTATAAGTAGCTACTTCACAGAAGTGTAAGGAGGATTAAATATCAATAATATCTAAGTTAAGCAGTCAGTTCAGTGCATGAAACATAGTATGTAGTGAATAAATGTTGACTGTTATTACTGTCACATGAGACAGACACTTGTCTGTCTGTCTCTGTCTCTGATCTATCAAAACTCTCTCTGATCTATCAAGACATTCTTAGTTCCAACCAAATAATTTATATAAATGGTTAATTGCATTACAGAAAGATTTACTGCTTAAAATTTAACTATTCAGTTTTTAAAATAGGAAGCTCTTTGGTACATTTAGGATTTGATGTTTGAAAAGTTAATATATACATAACTGAATTCTACTAGTTATAAATAAATGAGATACTTGAATTAGGTAAGAAGGTAACTCTGAATCAAATGGGATATTTTAATTCAGTGTTTTCTGTTTGGTACTTTAAAACTTTTGACACCAAGATAAATATAACATTAAGAGCCCTGCAGTAATGCTTTCTGAGCCCTTTTGTATATTTTCTTCCCTAATGCTGCTCAGCAAGATATTAATATGGATATTTTATTCTAGAAAAACCCATTTCCAACTTTCTAATGAGAATCAGTGGTAATATATCTTAAGCATTTATGTATTGAGAAAATCCAGAATATTTTGATTTTGACAGCACTCCAGTGGACACTTTGTTTGGGGGTGTGGTGTGGTAAAGAGCATGCTTTTCTACTGAACCTTCTAATCTAAAATACCTCTTAGTTACTTCTAACAGTATCTTCATACCCTTGGTTATTTTAATATCTTTGCTATATATTTTCTACTTTAAAGTTAATTAACAGAAATAGATTTTCTAGGATTTATTTTTTAGAAAACTAGTTATCCCATAAAGTGAAATTTACCCTATTTCAACCTTGAATTGTAGAAGTAAGCCATAGATCATTCTTTCATCAAATTCTAAGTTCGTCTCTCCCTTCTCCTAAATTTCTAGATAATACATAAATCTTTCCTTTCCCTTGAACCACATAATCTCCATATTATAAAAATTTGTAAGCCCTGGTTGAAAGTCCATTTATTGCAGGTAATAGCCTATACAACAAAATTATAGTATAATCAAAAGAGTTAAAATTTTAGTGATCCTTGTATTCAGGCTGATTAAAGACTTTAAATTGGATTAATTTTTACTAAAGCTAAGTGATATCATGAAACAACTGTCACATTAATAATTCTAATTCTGTGATAGTTAAATGAGGTAGAAAATAGATCTTGGGCTTTGTTGGATATTAATCTTATTAGGTTTTTAATTTAGTGATCGTCAGAGGGAGTACAATCAGATGTAAACTCTAAAAGATCTTTAAGTATTGGAGAGATGAATCATAGTTCTCAGGCTTTGGGTTAAATTTTGAAAGAGCATGTACTTATTAGTTGAAAGTGGAGGTGAGAAAATAAACTCAGTTTGAGAGGATGATGAAGTTTGATGGGCTGATCTGTCTTAAATCTTTCTTTGAACTATGAATTAAATCTTAACTTCTTTGCACTGAAAATATCATCTGGGAAGAATATGTTTGAAATATTGTCAATAAGAACATATCTTTCACCAGGAAATAATTGAAAAGATTAATCTGGTAATTAAGAAATAGTCATTAAAAATGAATCCCCCTGCAATCCTTCCCATAGCCCACTTTCTTTTTGTTAGGAAAACATATACAGTATTATCACCTTCCCCTTGTGGGGAGGGCATTTGAGAGCTACAGACACCTCAGGACTAATCTGAATGTATGTTTCTTGTTCTGTGAATCAAAAGAAAATAATTGTCCCTTTCAATTTTGCCTCCTTCCCCCACCCACAAACCCACCCTCCTTCTAAGTGTGAACTGAGAAAGAACAGTAAGCCTTAAATATGATTAAATATAAAGACATATTTTAGTTTACCAGTGGTTAGAACATTTGAGAGACTTGAAATGTATCTCATGACATTTAAATATTGTTTCTTATGGTGACATTTTCCACAGTTTTAAGTTATTGTTCTGGTTTGTTTTATAAGATTTCATTGAAGAATTGAGCTCTTAGTTAAATAATGCTGATATAGACAAATCTGAATTTAAAAAAGTTAAAAGCATAATCAATTTAAATGAGATGTCTTCTATTTTTTAAAGGATTCTTTACACATTTAATTATATAGCTTTTCTAGTAGATATATGTTTGTGTTTAAAAATATCTGATTTGTAGATAAGGTTTCAGGTCTAATTACAAAAAAGGCCATTGGTGGTTCAGTATAGGAGGCAATGTGTTGATGTGGAAAAGATGTGTACTTGAGAGACAAGAAGTCCTGGTTTTAGATCCTGACATTGCTGTTTACAAATTCTTTTAACTTGGGCATGTCTGAACCATTTTCCTCATCTGTAAAGTGGGGGATAATAATAATTTCCTGGCAGGACTATAGTAGAAGTAAGACATACTGTTTTTGAATATGCCTAGCATACACACACATGCACGCTAAGTCGCTTCAGTCACGTCCGACTCTGTAGACCCTGTATGGACTATATGGACTGCAGCCTGTCAGGCTCCCCTGTCCATGGGATTCTCCAGGCAAGAATACTGGAGTGGGTTTCCATTTCCTTCTCCAGTGCGTAGCACAGTGCACAGTATATAAGAGGTGCCCAGTACCTACTATATTTCTCAAATGTAAAGTTATTTAGAAGGCAACAGGAAGTCCATAAAATTTTGTTTTTAAGTAGTTTTCTTTTTCTTATCAATGTGATTCAGTTGAACTTCATTTATAACTAAAATAGAGTTCTAAATTACCAGCAAAGAGCTAACAGAATTCAAAAATCAATCTTTCCATAAAACCTGGGAGTCAGTAAGGAGATTCTTTTTCAGAGCCTAGAAGATGGCCAGATACTATAGCACCCTTTTTAAAATCTTAGATTTTTTTTTCTATTTTCTTAGTCCATTATTATTTTTTTTTGAAATGAGAGTTAGAGGGCAGAGAAAATAGTCCGTCTTGGCTTTAGGAACATAGTATAAAAAATAGTAAAGTATTGTTTCAAAAATTGGTGTCATATATCTATGACATATGTTGGAGAAGACTCTTGAGAGTTCCTTGGACTGCAAGGAGATCAAACCAGTCAGTCTTAAAGGAAATCAATCCTGAATATTCATTGGAAGGACTGATGCTTAAGCTGAAGCTTCAATACTTTGGCCACCTGATGCGAAGAGCTGACTCATTAGAAAAGACTCTAATGCTGGGAAAGATTGAAGGCATTAGGAGAAGGGGACGACAGAGGACGAGATAGTTGGATGGCATCACTGACTCAATGGACATGAGTTTGAGCAAACTCCAGGTGTTGGTGATGGACTGGGAAGCCTGGCATGCTGCAGTCCATGGGGCCTCAAATAGTCAGACATGACTGAGCAACTGAACTGTACTGATATATGACATAAAGCAAAATTTGTCTCCAGTGTGTTTTCCAGTGGTATTGATGAATAGCAATACCTACAACTTAGTAATCTATCACACTCTTTTGTGTAAACTTATCTCCTCTACAGCAACCTCTCCAAAAATAGTTGCTGAAAGTGTTGGAAAACTCTGGAGAATAGGGACATTTAAAATGACCTTAGAAGCACAAGACTATTTGGGGAGTAAAAGCAATCAGACCAGACAATAACTATAAATAATGTAAAATATCAGAGTTGTGAATAGATAATGAACTTACCCATAGGAGATAGTGCTAAAAATGAAACACAAAAGGAAGTCAGTAGGAATTTTGTAACTCGAGAAGAACCCAATTCTCAATGATGCCCTTTGTTGGTTGTTGTTCATGTCCGACTCTTTGTGACCCCACGGACGTTAGCATGCCAGCCTTCCCTGTCCTTCACTATCTTTGTTGGTGAATCCAGAAATAGGACTTCCATGGAGTATAAAGCCCTCTGTTTCTTACTCAGGAATCCTGGTGGCCAAAACTCCATATGCTACTCCATAGAGAAGTAACATTATGCAAACATTATTAAGCCATTTAGTGGATTTGAATCTGTGGGTAAGTAATATTCTACCAAAATTCAAACAATTTCCCACCTTTCATTATTCTCTCACAAGTCAGATTTTTACCCACTCTACTTCAGTTTGAAAAATACATATCATTAGTCAGCTATCAAAATTACCATCTTTTTCTGACATCTATCATTATGTCAATCCTAGGGTTTTGTTTTGGTTTTTTTTTTTTTAGTAAAAATTATTTATTGCCAGATTTCAGCACAAAGAAAATGGACTCTTTTGTGATAGACTAGCTGGTAATATACACTGCCAATAATGTTTGGTAGTAAATAATCAGGACCAACTATAAAATGGTTATATTTGGTGACAAAGAAAAAATAGAGAAAAGGAAATAAAAATAAGAGAAAATCACTTATTTAAGAAATACTGATTAAGGTAGAACTTGGAATACAAAAATATCTGGGAACAAAAACTCAAAGTATCTAGACATAGAAATGGGTAAGGCAAGGAAATGATCCAAACTTACTGACTTTTCCAGAACTGTCCACTGAAAGAGACAAAGATAAACACAGCAATAGGTATTGGGTTTCCCTTCTTCAACCCTCAATCCTCTGCACTGGTTGCAATCTGTGTCATGAACAATTAAGTTCTATTTATTTGAATATGGAGAACCTTCCTTTCCCTTCCTCCTTCTCTTGGTCTGTTGTGATTAGCTACTTTATTTAAAGATGTTTTAATGAATATATATATAATTGACATACAACATTTTGCAAATTTGAAATATACATGTTAATTTGATATATTTTATATATTATAATATGACAGTCTTTGCAGGATCATTAGCAACTCTGTCACACTACATAATGATCCTTTCTTTTTAGTGGTTGGAATTCTTATGTTGTAGTCTCTTAGCAAGTTTGACAGTTATAGGTTTGTTGTCTATATTCACTACACTGTGTATCAGATCTCCAGATCTTATTTACTACTTGTTGCAAGTTTGTATCCTTAAGCATCTCTCCTATACCTGCACCCCCAATTCCCTGGTAACAACCATTTTACTTCTGTGTTTTACTAGTTTGACTTTTTTATATTCCACATATAGAGTACATGTAGTACTTTACTTCCTCTGTCTCTCACTTATCCACTTAGCATAATATACTCATGGTCCATCCGTATTATTGCAAATGGTGATTTGTGTTTTCTCATGACTGTGAATAATATTTCACTGTATACATACAGTCATACCTCAGTATTTGTGGGAAATATTTTTATTCTCTGCACCCCATGCCCAAATCCATGGAGCTCAAGTTTCTTATTATAGAATGGTGTCATATTTGCATATAACCTATGAATATACTCCTGTATACTTAAATCATCTCTAGATTTATTATAGTACCTAACACAGTGTAAATGCTGTGTAAGTAGTTGTTTGCATGTGGCAAATTCAAGTTTTGCTTTTTGGAAGTTTCTGGCATTTTTATTTGCAAATGTTTTCTATACATGGTTGGTTGAATATGTAGGTGCTGCACCCATGGATACAGAGGAATAATTGTATGCCACATCTTTATTCATTCATCCATTGATGGTTGCTTGGGTTGTTTCCATATCTTGGCTATTGTGAATATGATGCAATAAACACTGGAATGTGTATATCTCGTTGATATCCTATCTCATTTCCTTTGGGTATATAGCAGAAGAGGCATTGCTGGATAATTTGGTAGATCCACTTTTACTTTTTAAAGGAATCTCTTTATTGTTTTCCATAGTTATTGAACTAATTTACATTCCCATCAATGGTGTACAAGGGTTCCCTTTTCTCTGCATCCTTGTTACACTTGTTATCTCACACTCTTGAGTACAGCCATTCTACCTGGTATGAGGTGATACACCATTTGCTGAAGAGACTATCTTTTTCCCATTGGGTGTGCTTCACTTCCTTGTTGAATATTAATTGACTGTGCATGTGAAGGCTTAATTCTGAGCTATTTGGTTACATTGATTTATTTTTATGCCAGTACCATACTGTTTTAATTACTATAGTTTTGTAATATAGTTTGAGATCAGGAAATGTGACATATCTAGTTTTGTTTTTTTCCCATCAGGATTTGAGTTCTTTGTGATTCCATACAAATTTTAAGACTTTTTTAAAATCTTCTATTTCTGTGTTGAATATGAAGAATACCATTTTAATGGGGATTATTTTGAAACTATAGATGGCTTTGGGTAGTGTGAACATTTTAATAGTATTGATTCTTCTGATCCACGAACATTGGGGTTGGCTTTCCATTGTTTCTTCTTTGATTTCTTTTAGCAAAGTATTAATAGTTTCTGTTGTACAGATATTTCCCTTCCTTGGTTAAATTTGTTCCTAGATATTTTATTGGCTTGGACATGATTGTGAATGGGGAAGTTGTCTTTATTACTTTTTCAGTTGTTTCATTATTAGTGTGTAGAAGTGCAATTGATTCCCAAATGTTGATTTTGTATTGGAAAAGTGAAAGTGAAAGTGAAGTTGTTCAGTCGTGTCTGACTCTTTGCGACCCCATAAACTGTAGCCTACCAGGCTCCTCCGTCTATGGGATCTTCCAGGCAAGAGTACTGGAGTGGTTGCCATTTCCTTCTCCAGAGGATCTTCCCGACCCAGGGGTCAAACCTGGGTCTCCCACATTGTAGGCAGATGCTTTACCATCTGAGCCACTAGGGAAGCCTTTGTGTTGGAAGCCTTACTGAAATTGTTGACTAGTTCTAAAAGTTTTTTGGTTGCATCTTTGATATTTTCTATATATAAAATCATACCAGCTATAAATAGTGACAGTTTTACCTCTTTCCTGATTTGGATTTCTTCTATTTGTTTTTGTCCTATCCTATGACCTGTCCCTGAGAGAGTTCCAACTGCACTTGAGAAGATTGTATATTTTGTTGCCGTTGGATGGAATGTTTTATATATGTCTGTTAAGTTCATTTGGTCTAGCTTATAATTCAATTCCAGCACTTCTCTGTTGATTTTCTCTTTTTATGATCTATCTATTGCTGATAGTGGGATATTGAAGTCTCCCGCTGTTATTTTATTGTTATTTATTTCTTCCTTCAATATTGTAACTGACAATATATTTAGGTGCGCCAATGTTGGGTGCATATATATTTACAATGGTTACATTTTCTTGATGTAGTGACCCTTTCCTTATTATGTAATGACTTTGTTTGTCTCTTATTATTGTTTTTGGCTTAAAGTTTATTTTGTCTCATGTAAGTATGTCCAAGCCAGGCTTCAACAGTATGTGAACCATGAACTTCTAGATGTTCAAGCTGGATTTAGAAAAGGCAGAGGAACCAGAGATCAAATTGCCAACATCTGTTGGATCATCAAAAAAGCATGAGAGTTTCGGAAAAACATCTACTTTCTCTTTATTGACTACACCAAAGCCTTTGACTGTGTGGATCACAGTAAACTGTGTAAAATTCTTAAAGAGATGGGAATACCAGGCCGCCTGATCTGCCTCCTGAGAAATCTGTATGCAGGTCAAGAAGCAACAGTTAGAACTGGACGTGGAACACAGACTGGTTCCCAACAGGGAAAGGGGTACGTCAAGGCTATATATTGTCACCCTGCTTATTTCACTTATATGCAGAGTACATCATGAGAAATGCTGGACTAGATGAAGCACAAGCTGGAATCAAGATCACTGGGAGAAATATCAATAACCTCAGATATGCAGATGCCACCACCCTTATGGCAGAAAGTGAAGAAGAACTAAAGAGCCTCTTGATGAAAGTGAGAGAGGGGAGTGAAAAAGTTGGCTTAAAACTCAACATTCAGAAAACAAAGATCATAGCATCTGGTCCCATCACTTCATGGCAAATAGATGAGGAAACAGTGGAAACAGTGGCAGAATTTATTTCTTTGGGCTCCAAAATCACTGCAGATGGTGACTGCAGCCATGAAATTAAAAGATGCTTGCTCCTTGGAAGAAAAGTTATGACCAACCTAGACAGCTTATTAAAAAGCAGAGACATTGCTTTTCCAACAAAGGTCCATCTAGTCAAAGCTATGGTTTTTCCAGTAGCCAGGTATGGATGTGAGAGTTGGACTATAAAGAAAGCTGCTGCTGCTGCTGCTGCTAAGTCACTTCAGTCGTGTCCAACTCTGTGCAACTCCACAGACAGCAGCCCACCAGGCTGCCCTGTCCCTGGGATTCTCCAAGCAAGAACACTGGAGTGGGCTGCCATTTCCTTCTCCAAAGCGTGAAAGTGAAAATTGAAAGTGAAGTCTCTCAGTCGTGTCTGACTCTTAGTGACCCCATGGACAGCAGCCTACCAGGCTCCTCCATCCATGGGATTTTCCAGGTAAGAGTACTGGAGTGGGTTGCCACTTCCTTCTCCAAAGAAAGCTGAGTGCCGAGGAATTGATGCTTTTGAACTGTGGTGTTGGAGAAGACTCTTGAGAGTCCTTTGGACTGCAAGGAGATCCAACCAGTCTTTCCTAAAGGAAATCAGTTCTGAAATTCACTGGAAGGACTGATGTTTAAGCTGAACGTCCAATACTTTGGCCACCTGATGCGAAGAACTGACTCATTTGAAAAGACCCTGATGCTGGGAAAGATTGAAGGCAGGAGGAGAAAGCGATGACAGAGGATGAGATAGTTGGATGGCATCACCGACTCAATGGACATAAGTTTGAGTAAACTCTGGGAGTTGGTTATGGACAGGGAAGCCTGGCGTGCTGCAGTCCATGGGGTTGCAAAGAGTCAAAAATGACTGAGTGACTGAAATGACGGAACTGAAGTATGTCCACTTCTGCTTTCTTTTTGTTTCCACTTACATGAAGTATATTATTCTGTCCCTTCACTTCACACATGCCTCTGTGTGTTTAGAGCTGAAATAAGTCTCCTATGGGCAGAATATGGTTGGATCTTGTTTTTGAATCTATTTAGCATTTATGTACCTTTTGATTGGTGGATTTAGTGTGATTATTAATTGATATGTAAGGTTGTCCTACTGCTTTATTGTTTGTCTTTTTATTTGAGGGATTTTTTTTTCCCCTACTGTTTCTGCCTATCTTTGTAAGTTGGTGGTTTTCCATGGTGATGTACTCAGTTTCCTCTTTAAAATTTTTTTGTGAATCTACTCTAGATTTTTGCTTTGTAGGTTGAATGAGGACTACATAAAACGTCTCGTAGATACAGGAGTCCATTTTTATGCCAATAGCAACTTATTTTCATTTGTTTAAAAGGCTGGAGGAATCAATCTGCCTGACTTCAGACTATACTACAAAGCCACAGTCATCAAGACAGTATGGTACTGGCACAAAGACAGAAATATAGATCAATGGAACAGAATAGAAAGCCCAGAGATAAATCCACGAACCTATGGTCACCTTATCTTTGACAAAGGAGGCAAGGATATACAATGGAAAAAAGACAACCTCTTTAACAAGTGGTGCTGGGAAAACTGGTCAACCACCTGTAAAAGAATGAAACTAGAACACTTTCTAACACCATTCACAAAAATAAACTCAAGATGGATTAAAGATCTAAATGTAAGACCAGA